TTGAGCATTGGTTAATCAGCCTGCTCATAACAATCCCTCTTTCCGTGAGGTCTTAAGGAGAGAAAAAAAAGGGACCGAGAGAAAAACAGCCAGGCCCTGATAGTTTTAATCTATATAAATCTGGGTAATGCTAAATAAACACATTCATTATTTCCTTTAGTAATTAGAAAAAATGGTAACTAAAGACGTTTCCATCATCACCCTTCTTTTCTTAGCATTAATGATGGTTTGTCAACATTCAGTGTGCTTTAAAGCCTCAGAATGATGCTTTTCTTCAGGAACAGCAAAGGAAAAAGTGCTTTGAGACAAAAGGGAATTCGATGGTGTTTACAAGATTAAGAAGAACAACTTCTGAAGTTCTCACATTAGTCAGAGGCTTTCAGTGAAATTAGTCATTTCATCCACAGGGATCTAAGGCAGCTTAGACCCCCCACAATTCTTATTCATGAGCTGGCACGTTTGGAGTTTCTCAGCTTTTAGAAGAGGCAGGGGAGATTGGAGAAGTTTAATCTCAGCTCTGAGGAACTGTCTCTTCACCTGAGGCCTTGGCTACCATAGTAATATCAGAATTGCATGCCACTAAATATGCTTCTTCACGCATGGAAAAACACTTTTTCTTCCTCCCTCATTCTTTAGATTCGCTCAACAGAAAACCTACATAAGCTGAAGCAAACCAGCCACATTTACCCTGGAAAAAAAATAGGACCACGCAGAAGGGAAGTTCATGTTGAGGTGAATTTGGGGAGGGATGTCAAGGGAAACAAGAAAGGCCTCAATGGGATTGCAAAAGGAAAACTAGGAAAAATGTGGGCCTAAGGCTGAACAGGCCAGGTGACCTGGAGACAATGGACATGGAAAAGGCAGAACCATTCAATGGCTTCTTTGCTTTGCTGTTTGCTAGTAGGACTTGCCTTCAAGAATCTCACCTGGCTGTGGTGACTGGCATAGTCTGAAGCAAAGACAACTTGACTTTGGTTGAGAAGGATCATGCTAGGGAACAATGAAATAAACTAGACATGCGTAAGCCCTTGGGATCTGATGAGATACAGTCATGAGAGCTGAGGGAGCTGGCTGATGTCATTGCAAGGGTACTCTTGATTGCCTTTGAAAGGTCAGGCTAAAGGAAACAGGTCCCTGAGGACTAGGAGAAATAAAATACCACATCTTTCTTCAAAAAGGATAATCTGGGGAACTATAGCCTGATTATTCTCACCTCTGTCCTGCTGAATATGATGGAACAAATTATTCTGGAATTAATTTCAACTCAAGATGTCTGGGAGTAGTCAGCATGGATGTGTGAAGAGATCAAGGTGAACCAGCCTGATAGCCTTCTATGACGAGATCACTATCTGAGCAGATGAATGAGAGCAGTGAATATTATTTATCTTGATTTATCTCGACTTTATCAAGGCTTTAAAGCTGTCTTCAATAACATCATAGACAAACTGATAAAGTACTGCTTAAATAAATGGACAGACATGTGGCTCAAAGGGTTGTGAATAACAGCATGAAGTTGAGCTAGAAACCAGTCACTTGTGGTGTAACCCTGGCATCTGCCCCATGTCAAACGCTGTTTAACATCTTCATTAATAACCTGGAAGGTCCTTAGTGCATCCTTAGAAAGCCACAGATGATACAGAACCTCGGGTGGTTAATACTCCAGACAGCTGGATGGAGAAATGGGCTGACAAGAAATCCTGCACTGAGGGCGTAAAAGCTCCATACACCAATACACCAATGGGATTAAGAGAAGCTTTGCAGAAAAGATGCTGGATATTCTGGTAGACATCAAGCTGACCATGAAACAGCAGTGCTTCCTTGCAGCTAGGAAGGCCAGTATCATCCTGGGATGCAAGGGCTGGAACGCAGACGGCAGATGGAGTGAGGAGACCCCTTCCCTCTGCCCAGCACCGGTGAGGTGACACATGGAGCTCTGGGCCCAGTCCAGGGGTGAGGCTACATGTGAAGCCCCGGGTCCACTCCAGAGCTCCCCACAACAACACAGGCATGGACACACTGGGGCAATCCCGTGCCTGCAAACACTCTCCGCCGTCAGGAAGCTGCAGCCAGACTCCTCTCAGTGGTGCGTCCTGAAGGGAAAATAGGCAGTGAGCATGAACTAAAACACAAGAAATGCCACTTAAACCACTTAATGACACTTTAAAAGGACTTTTTTTTTTTTTTTTTAAATATGTGAAAATGGTTGAACACTGGATCAGGCTGCCCAGAGAATCTCCATCCTTGGGAAGCCCTGTGTAACTCCCTTTAGGAGTGCAGGGAGGCTCCAGAGCACAGTAACACCAGGCAACCCTCCCTGCACAAATGCTCACTTGTCAGGCAACCAGAAGCCCATACTGCTGAGTACCTCTCTGTCTACAGATTCAAACGTGCCATCAGTCACTTGGACTCTGCAGGCACATCCTGGAAGTCTCCCTTACAGGCCAGGGAAATTAAAAGGGAATATTCAAGGCAAGCCATTTCTGAAAAAAAAAAACGAATTATGGCTGGCTCTGCCCCACCGTTGCTCTCACAGGCGTCAGGAGGTCTGATCTGTACCTCTGGTGCTGCTCTACAAGATGTCCTGCTCCCAATTACATACAGCCCGAACTGAACGTGGTGGAATGCCACTGGCGTGACCATCACTCTCTTTCCATTACCTTTAATTCCTTCAAATACACTTCTCTTGGCTTGAGGCTTTCCAGCTTTGCATTTTGGCCAGAAGCAAAACTTTGGGGATAGCTTCAGGAAAGCCTGTTATTTTTTTTCCCCTGCACTTCTGTGCAAGTTTAAATTACTTTTGAACAAAAATAATTCTAGAACTGAGCTCTGACTTTGAAATGTTTTCAACATAATATAGTGGGATTGTGTCTGATTTGTTAAAGCAACCTAGATCTAAAGATCAAGCCTACTGTGATATCACATGTAATATGATATAAGAAATCAACATCTATAGTCATGCAGTATTAGGAACTACAAAACCATAATAATGGCTTTTTATTACAAATCTATCAGCCATATGCAAGTCCAAACTTTGAAGTTAAAATAAATTGACAATCTTCTGATTGTTTCCCTTTTTTAAATAAAAATGAAAGGAGGAGTTAAAATAGCAAGGCATCCACCAACTGTGGTTTGGTTTGGACACAGTCAAGGATAAAAATGATTCTTTCACTACCTGACAAAAGCTCATAGTGGGAAAATGAAAATGTGTTACAATACAGTCCTATTGCTGTAGCCTTTCTGTTTTCTGCTGTTTTCCTGCTATCTTCTGTTATGACATTTTTGGAACCCATTCCCATTGGCTAAATAATATCACGATCCCCGAGCAATGCTCGAAGCTGTTGCAGACACTGAACACAGTATGTTTGTTCACCTTCACAGCTTACAGCAATCTGGAGGAGCAACAGGCCAAAGCAGCTGCACGTTTGTGCCAACAGTTGCAGGGTGCATTCCAGGCCAAGAAAATATTGATCACCCACTGTCTCAGCGTCACTATCTCAATATTCAGCATAGAAATGGATCTGTTTTCTTTCTTGTATCACATGAGGTTACATATCTCATTTAGGCAATTAATATTAAAATTAAATATTAAAAAGAAAGAAAGAAAAAGCAAAGAAACTGCATTCAGACGAAGATGTTAGTGGTAAGGGAAAGTGCTGTTAACAGTGGGTTTCTGCCACAGATGTTTTGTCTCCTCATGTATCTTTACAGGTCCTTGTGTAATCCTGTGGTGCAGAAAGGGCAGGTGAGGCTGCCTTTGGCAAAGAAGAGTACAGGAAAACAGAGACCAGACTAATGGCAAAGACTGTCCTAAGAAGGACAGTTTCCAAGTGGATCCAGAGAAGACATGGATGCAAAATTAGGATGAAAAAGCCTGAGAAAGGCCCGAGTGGTCAGGGAGCAAGCCACTGGCACACCGGGCAAGCATTAATGGTATTCACAAGGACCAAAGGCAGCAGAGGTAGAGCAGGGTAAGAAGACAGGATGCAGGATGCCCCTTGTGTCCCTATCACCTGTGCCAAGGACAGGGGCCCTCGGGACAAAACCAGCAGATTTGGGTCTCAGCAGCCCAGCACAGCAAGGACCTCATCTGCTTTAACCTTCCCTCATGACGGGGAGCTTCCTGAGCAGAGAACTGCTGCGGGCAGACAGCAAATGCAGCCTTCGTGCTGCAGCCCTCACGCATGCCGGGGCTGACGCTACCGGCCGCCTGTTGCAACCCCCTACCCTTGTTGTGTTGCGACTGTAGCCACGGCTCCCTGCTGCGGAGGAAGGGATTCTCACAGGCTTCAAACACAAATGCTTTTACAGTGTTTAGGTAAATATTTTCCTTTGCTCGCTTGAAGGAGTGACCACCAGGACAGGAAAACATCACGTGGATCCTGAAACTGGTTTCAACCCCCTCTTCTTTCCCAAGAACCATATAGTTCAGGGGAGGTGGATGGAGTACTTTCCGGCAAATTAGCACCTGTCTTGTTAATCACTGGTCCTTACTTTTCCCTCCCCTGGATGCTCCATTACAGTCATGGCAAACTAACCCTGTATTCTCCCCCCACCAAGCCGAGCTTTAAATATGGGGCTTAACAACAATGAGTTGGAGCTGGCTGGGCCTATGAATTTTTGCTGGCTGCTAAGAGGCAGAAGATGAAATATTTTTACCCATCTGGAAACAAAGATGTGCTCCAAAATAGTGTCATAAACACGTAAGACCTGCTCCTATTGAATTTGCTCTGCAGTTGGTTTGGTGTCTTTGGCTCTCACAAATTAGCATTGTAATCCATGTATGGAGTAAGAGCTATTTGCACGCAGAGGAAAGCCAAGTTTCCTACACTGGAATAAGTTTCAATTAGGTAGAAGACATCAGAACAAAGGTGTGTTCTGCATCTACTAGAGTAAAACCGGTAGGCGATAAAACTTCTCCAAACTGAGACAAGCATTCATGGAAAGCTCTTAAGGAATGTGGGAAGAATATGATGGGATTGAAGAGCTCCTTGGCAACATACCAGCTCCAAATGCAAAGAAGAAGCTCTTGTCCGGGTTCTCTTGCAGCAGGTCCTTCACCCTCCTGCCCATGCGCTCGTTCCTCTTGTAGATGAGCTCCTGACGGAAGTAGCTGTCGATCTCCTGGGCAGTAACGCGTTCATGGGGTGGGAGGGTAGCATTAATGAAGTTTGGGACCTAGGGGAGAAGGGAGAAGAAAAGTCTTCATAAAAGGGGCATTTGTTTTGCAGGCAGCCATCGTGCACAGGTATCAACCCCCTCACTGAATGTGGCAATCAGCTCTTCCCACAACACAGTAGGGAAAAACTCCAAGAAAGCAAAAAAAAGACTCAATAAACTTCTAATAGTGTGTACTTGTGCATTTCTTTGATCCCATTATTTCCTAAGCTGGACAAGTGGATTTGTTTTGATGCAAATTTAGCAAATACTCTCAGTTTCCCATGCCACGGGTCCAAATTCCCAATTGCTTGGCTGAAGACAGAAAATATTTGCCCTTGGCTATCTTTGGCTGCATACCTCTGTTTTAAGTCCCCCTAGGTATGACATAACTAAAAAAAGATAATTACAGTCTTCTAGGAGAGTTTCACTGGTATCAGAACCCCGGGGCTGCCAGAGAACAACTGCAGCTTAAACTCATTGACAAAAATATCGCATGAAAATTTCAAAACAGAGCCAAATTTTGTCAGGAAGGAAGTTTTACCCATTCCAGCTCTCATGTCTGCAAAGTGTCTTTTCAAATACTGGCTCCCTCCTCTGGGGTCCTCAAACCAGCTGTTTTTTGTTGGTTTACTTGTTTGTTTTTTAATGAACCCTCAAACACAGAGCCACACCGAGACTATCACCAACTGCTTCAACCAAGTTTTTAGCCCACAGTGTGTCACCTACTGGGAAAGCATAGGATTAAATCCAGTTTATAGAGAAGTTCCACCTAAAAACATCAGTTGCTACAGGATGCTGACTATTACTATTCAAGTCCATGGTAGGGGAGACCGTCCCAGAGCAGATCCTCTTGCAGACACAGACATCTCAACAAGACCTCTTCCCTCTCAGGACCTAGAGGTCCATCAGCCGCCTGCAGCACCTCGACAGGACGGCGATGAAGGAGCTGTATGTTGTTCCTCACAACTCGGCCTCCTTGGAGAACTTCTCCAAGATCAACTTGTGTGATTTCCTGCATAAGAGCTAAGCATTATTAACGATCATGTTGCCTGAACCTGCAGGCTGAGGTGTGCAGAGCAAGACGATTAACAACACACGCGCAAAGCTCCGTGCCAGCAAAGCAAGGGTTAACGTGACAATGTTTTCAGCTCTGCAGTGCAACCTGTATCTCAAGAGGCTGTAGGAAAAAATGTCATTCAGCAGGAAAAGCCCAGGTGCCAACACACGCTTGTTCAGCGCTGCTAGGCCAGGGACTATGTTTTCTCATTCACGTACACCAACTGCCAGGCAGTACCTCACACACAACAATAAAAAGAAGACTGATGTCTCAGTCTGAGGTTGGCTAATCTAACGGCCCAAACAGGCCCAATTGGTCCCTGCTGGGCATTTTCTGGTAGTTTAAAGATCAGAGCATTGCATTCCACTGTGCTGCTTTGGAAACCGTCTCCATAAATGAAGTCTGTGAGGTCTTAGAAGGTTTTCTTTTCCCTGATATTCAGCCCAAATCTGTCTCCTCTTTGTTTCACTCCCGTTCTCCTCTTTGGGTCGTGCCTACAGCACACAGCTGTGCTGATGGGGGGAAATTAAAGAGCTTTCAGCTCGCCCAGCCTTGCACAAGTGTTGAAGTCAGAAGGGCATTGCTCTGTCACTATTTGCAGAAAAGAGCCTGCTCCTACTCTCTGTTGGCACTGAGTCCTTTCATAGCTAAGTCAGTGCAATTCCAGAGGATCCTTAAGAAAATAAATGATTAACTGATCCAGCTTTGATGCTAAAGCAAACAAAACAGTCATCCGAAAGGGAAATGCAGGTGCACCTTTGCTCTTTATGTGCAGTAAGACAGCGGTGAGGCAGTGAGGACTCCTCGAGCAGGGGGTGCAGGAAAGCAGACACACCAGTTAGCCAGTTAAGTGTCTTGGTTCCTGACCTGCAAAGAGCCTATCTGAGGAAAGACAAGCGTGAGACAGGGGTTAGCGCTATGCGGGTATGTGCGTAGTACAAGGGCTGTGGTGGCAAGACTCACTTGAGAAGTGTCATGGTTGAAGATGATGGAGTTGAGGTCCCCACAGTTGTAATGCTTGATAAGGTCCTCTGTCGTATAGGGGATCTGGAAACTGCCTGCTCGGAGGCTCTCCTGCTGCAAGAGAGTCTGATTCAAAGCAAAGATCACCTGAGGGAGGGGGAGAGGGAGGAAAAGACAGAGTTCCTTATGAGTTCTTAACTTGCTTGTTGAGAAGATTATAGATATATAGCTATTCTGTGAAGACTTTCCGAACCTATCCCAGTCTGAGGTCACTAATCCACATTTTAACCAACCCAAACCTCCTCCAGATCTGTAGCTTTGGTGTCTGGCCCAGAGCAAGCTGTCAATCCAGCTGCCCACTGCTAAGGGGAGTGATTATCTGGATGGATTGCATCTCCATGGGTGAGGAACATTTAAAATCTATGACAGCAGTTTGGAAGAGTGGCTCTTCTGCGTGCTCTTGCAGCAAGGAGGGGTGGAAGTGCCTTGCTGTTTGCTCCAACACGAGAGTCTTTGCAGTGAAAGAGCCATATGTGTAACTCCCTCTGGTCACCTCCAGCAGACACAGCAGGTGGACACCAAGTTCACGTATAGCCAGAGAAGCAGAAGAAGGTGTGGGGTGGAAAATGAGCACAGGCTCCACATACCTGCGCTGGTGGGGAAAGGAAGTGTTTTCCATCAGCACATGGCAAAGAAGACATTGCTGTTATCTCCTGAAACAGAACTTGCTTCAGCTACCCACTAGGTTACACACCAAGGCTAAACTTCTCTAACAAGTTTTCTCATTAATCATTGGACTTTTTCATTTTTCCACTAAAAAACAAAGAAGCAAGCTGAGAAATACTTGCTGAAGTCTGGATGTGCATTTCAGACTTGTTCTTCAAAGAGTTATTCCCCCATCTTACATGACCCTGTCCAGCTTGTGGTGGAATTAGCTTCTCTGTGACTTTTGTTTCAAACACTATCAATAGTATTCTGAAAAGATAAGTATTCACTAGCAGCATGCAAAGTATGTTAATATGTTATAAGACTTAAAGATTTATATGTAAGAAATATACCAAGTATATAAGACCAGCAACTACTCTGGAAGTAAGAAGGCTGATGATCTCCCCAAGCAATTAGAAACTATACAAACAAACAAGAGTTTCTGCAATTCTGTGATAAAATCAAGCTTTTACCTCTGCAGGCATGTTCTTAGTTAGAGATGCAGGCTGTAATGTTTTTATCCATCTTAAGTTCTTACAGTAGATCATCACTGTTAGATATTAAAGCTTGCCTTGATCGAACAGCAAGCATTAGCAATAAGAAGCTATTTGATAGCAATGAGTTTTCTGGATGGGAATGGCTATCACTACTGACCCCTACAGCACAGTTATGCCCAGAAATTTTAGTGTCCAACATGGAACAAATGAAACTACCACAATTTGTTAAAACACTTGAGTTCTGGCTATTTCTCAGATAATATAAAGCTGCATTTCAGATGTTGCTACTATATTCAGATCTCAGCTTTCCAGAACAGGGCAGATGTGGAAATCAGTTGACATGAATTGCCCTCTCCCAGCACAATAATCTATCTGTCTCATACAGAAAAAAACACATATATGCTTTACTTAACATGAGTTCTGCAAGGGTGTTCATTAATACAACATTCATTCCCATCTCAGGCTTTTCAGACTGGACAACAGTTCACTTTATTGGTACAGATTGCTCCTGATTAAAAGAATATCTTCAGTTAGATGCCTGGGAAGGTGACACAGAGCTAATTAGTAGTGATCCTTCGAAGAACGTTTACTTTGAAAGTAAATAAAACAAAGACAAATTGAAAGTCCTTTATTTTGGAACAAATGTTTGCATGCAGGCTGGGGTTTATTGCACTCTGACGCCTTGGTTTCCATTTGTTTGGCTTCACTTCCCACACAGAAAAGCCCAAATGGACCTTAACAGCCGAACAAGGTTCACTGAGACACAAGCTAAATCTGTGCTGGAAATGTGGGGTTTCTACAGCCAGGACTGCCAGCAAAGTCTCATATACGCAGTTAGTCTAGTCAAAAAGACCTCCACAGGAACAGCTTGTTTTTTAAGTTACTGCGAGTGCTATCAGCAGCATTTACTTGGAGAATTTACCCTTAATGCTATCTGGCCCTGGCAGGATCCTGTGGCCTCCAGAGCAGCCACTCTGTGGCAGTCCAGAGCAGTGCCCATTCCAGAAGCAGGAAGAAGGCCTGCGGCAGACCCTTGGCCAGGCCGGGTGGCTTCACCGTGGTGCAGAAGAGGCACCTCAGAAACACTTCGTAATCTCCACAGTTTGTTTTTCACCCAAACACACAACAGCACAGGGCAAGTGGTTTCCACTGAGGAAACACCAGATTTAGGCAGAACAAATCTCCCGCTTTCCGTTGTGCCTCCACAGAGCATTTCCTGACGTCGCTTTCTCATGGATGTCTCTCCTTATGGACGGCTCTCCGTATTCCCCTTGGCTGCAGGGATGGCTCTTCCCTCCTGCCCTACAGCATGGAACTGATGGGGTCACTCCCCAGGACGGACTCGGCCGCCTGGCCTGTGCTCCAGCAACCAGGCCAGGCCAAACGGGCACCTTCCTTTCCAAAACCCACCCTGGGCCTTAAGAAACTAGCACACAATAAATGGCCAACTAGTGAATAATGTTGTCTGTCATCTCAAAGACACAGTCTAAAACCCAGTGACTGCCCTCACATTGACACAGAGATGGCTAAGACTTTTTCCCCCTCCCTCCATCTTTCCAAGCTTATCCATGGCATGGTATTCCTGGAGGGGGGCCATGGCACATTCATTGAAGAACTACATGACGTTACAACTTGACAGCAGCGTGTAGGGCCTCTCTCAAAAGAACTCTTCCCATTTTTCTATGCTTTCCAGCTTCTTGGGGGCAGCGTAATTCCCAGGCTGGAAGCAAAGGGCTGTGGGGGCTCAGAGAGAGGAGGTGTTTGTAGTACCAGGTGTTGCTTCAAGCTGTGCCCTTCTCGTAGGGTTATCTTTGGTAAACAGTAACAGATAAACAGCTCTGGGATCTCAAAAGAAGGAGGATTCTTGAGCTCACCGTTCTCAAGGGATTTAATTTGCTGAGGTGGGTTTTGCTCAAAGGTTGATAACGCTTATCTGTCATTATTTCTAAGAAAAAACATTTGACTGGGTGAAAAGTGGTGTTTAAGGAAGACCATGGTTATCACATGCTAGAGATAAGATCCTGGTCTTGTTTGCCAGGTGTGAAAAGCTGGGAAGAAGCCCACAAAGCAGGAGAAGGAGAAGCAGAGACCAGAAGCACAGCTGACATGCGACTTCTGATTTTGCTTGGCACAAAACCACAAACTGCACTCCTTAAAGCTTTCATTTCTAATATTGCCAAGAAGGTAGGAAGACCACAGGAAAGCAGAAAAGGTTGGAAGAAATGTTCAAGTATGGCTCAAAACTAAAATTAATAATGAGTTGCATTTCTCAGAGTAGTGTATTTCCTATGTTCCAGGTACCTCCTGCATTGTGCTGTGTTTTATTAATTCTAAAACCTTCCCTGTGTTGGAATCCATAGAAATCACTACGCGTTTGTCCTCCTTTCAGAATTACTCTTCCTCACTTTGTTCCCCCCACCCCTCCCACAGCCACCTTACCCCGCTCCATTAAGTGTATTCATACCAGCATCAAAGCCTCTCCTCAAAAGATGTATTCGGAGAACAAAAGTAACAAGTTTATTAGAAGGGGATTTTTTTCCCCCCTCCCACTTCCACTGTGATCTCCTTCTTCCCCCAGCCCTCTCCCTTTTTTGTGCTGTGGAAAAAATCGATTAAGCTCTCCAGTATACATATTGCTGCAAGCTTCATTCTCCTTCTGGAGGTTTCTTCAGCTGTCAGGAGACACTTGTCCCCTTTGCCAGCATTGTTGCAGGGGCTTGCTAGGCTAAGGGGATGGCGGAATGGGGGTTAGAGCCCAGCAGATGCCTTTTTTGTCAAAGACAAAAGACCCCCTGCCATCCTCTCCACTTTTCAGCACTTTCATCCAGGAGAGATCAAAGTACTGTTCTGCATGTGAAAGGGGCCTGGCATTATGCGCCTCAAATTAGCCTATCGCCATCCCGCTAGCCTCCAAGTCTTCCCAACAAAAGCCCTCACATCTGCTCCATCATTTGCCTCATCTTCTCTTTTTTCCCCCTCTCCGCTCTCAGTTTTCGAGGGCCATTCAGCCCCTTGAATTATAGTCTGGGGGAGCATCTTCCTTGCTCTGGGACCGCTCAGCCGGACAATTTGCTTTTAATTGTCTTAAGGAATCACGGGCTGCTTTCACCGGCCCTTCCCAGCAACAAACTGCATCCATTACCACTTCCATTCAGCCTCTTTGGTCACCTCTCTCCCTCCTCCTCCTCCTTCTCAAAGGCATGTTTCTCTCCTTGCTCTTCACCTGGAGGAGACCATTGCTTCTCAGGGCCAGCGAGCACCGCCACCTAAAATCAAAGCAAGACTCAAATCAAAGGCATCATGACTATGAAAGTCAATAGTCCTCCTTTGTCATGGTAATGGTACGGACTAAGTGCTGAGAAGAAAGCAGGGCTCCTCACTCCAGTGTGATGCTCTTTCTTAGATGTCTGGTGGCCATGTCTTGATAGCCTTTGAGGACAAAGTTTGGGGACTGGCCTTCTCAGAGCCTGGAAGCATGAACCCGAGGAACCCTGCAAACACACACAGGCAGGAGGAGTCTGAATTGGGGGTGGATGGAGAAAAACAGTGGCAGGTTCATCTGCAGCTTTCAGAGATATCCGAGCCAGCTGATGGCCTGTTGCACTGGACAGGATGCTCCAAGGTTTCCTGAATGTTCCTGGTCCTCCCCACAGTATTTTTAGAAGAATGGAAAAGAAAGCATATTCCTTTACTTGCTCTATTTTTTTTTCTGATTCAGTTGACTAGAGAAGACAAGAGACCTACAGGCTCCCTCAGAGCATGAGAGACAAGCCATTTACACCAGAAGAAATGGAAAGCATTTCAGGTTGCCTGCAAGCTGCTAGTTTCCCCTGTTTTTAGGCCTTTATTTTGTTTTCAGATGACATGGCAAGCAGAGGGAGCGTGTCTCTCCAAGGCACAAAGTCTCTCAGTTTGCCTAAGACATAGATATGGTCAAAGATAAAT